TGTCCGAAACCCCTGAATGCCGCAGGGTTAGCCTGTTGGACTTGTTCAGGTAGAATGGCTCACTGTCTGTCTTAAGCTTTTATTTCTCCCAGCATGCCTCATATTGGGCCTGTGGTGCAGTGACTAGAGAGACTGTGGCCACCAAGACCCCAAGATTCTTGGCTTGGAGCTGAGTCCTATGGCTCCGGGTCTGTCTTGGGGCAGGGCTCCCTCAAAGCAAGTTGGCACTAATGTGCCTTAGGACACCCAGGGCTCTGGGCAGCAGGTGCCAGAGCAGAGCTGGGATTCCAGCCACAGCTGAGGATGAGCTAGCTGAGCTGCCTTCTGGAATGTGTCTGTGTCCATACGTGGACTGCAGCCAGGGCTACAAGACAGGGAGCGTGTTATGATGGAGGAAAATAAGGCTTTGTGATGAGCCTATTGTAGTTTTGTTAGGTGTCTTCAAGTCAGTTCTGACTCATAGTGACCCGACCCTTTGTACAACAGAATGAAACACTGCCCGGTCCTGTGCCATCCTCACAATCATTGCTCCATTTGAGCTCATTGTTGCAGCCACTGTGTCAGTCCATCTCAGTGAGGGTGTTCCTTTTTTACACTGACCCTCTACCTTACGAAGCACAATGTTCTTCTCCAGGGACTGATCCCTCCTGATAACATGTTCAAAGTATTTGAGACAAAGTCTCACCATCCTCGCTTCCAAAGAGCATTCTGCTGTACTTCTTCCAAGACAGGTTTGTTCATTCTTCTGGCAGCCCACAGTATATTCAATATTCTTTGCCAACACCTCAATTCAAATGCATCAAATCTTCTTTGGTCTTCCTTACTCATTGTCCAGCTTTCGCATGCATGTGAGATGACTGAAAATACCATGGCTTGGGTCAGGCACACCTTAGTCCTCAAAGTGACATCTTTGCTTTTTAACACCTTAAAGAGGTCTTTTGCAGCAGATTTGCCCAATGCAATATGTCATTTGATTTCTTGACTGCTGCTCCCATGGGTGTCGATTGTGGATCCAAGTGAAATGAAATCCTTGACAACTTCAATATTTTCACCGTTTATTATGATGTTGCTTACTGGTCCAGTTGTGAGGATTTTTGTTCTCTTTGTGTTAAGGTGTAATCCATACTGAAGACTGTAGTCTTTGATCTTCATCGGTAAGTGCTTCAAGACTTCTTCACTTTCAGCAAGCAAGGTTGTGTCATCTGCATATCACAGGTTGTTAATGAGTCTCCCTCCAATCCTGATGGTCTTCATATAGACCAGCTTCTCGGATTATTTGCTCAGGATACAGATTGAACAAATACGGTGAAAGGATACAACCCTGACTCACACTTTTCCTGATTTTAAACCATGCAGTATCCCTTTGTTCTGTTCGAACAACTGCCTCTTGGTCTATGTACAGGTTCCTCATGAGCCCAATTAAGTGTCCTTGAATTCCCATTCTTTTCGGTGTTATCCATAATTTTTTATGATCCACACAGTCGAATGCCTTTGCACAGTCAATAAAACACAGGTAAACATCTTTCTGGTATTCTCTGCTTTCAGCCAGGATCCATCTGCATCAGCAGTGATATCCCTCATTCCGTGTCCTCTTCTGAATCCAGCTTGAATTTCTGGCAGTTCCCTGTCAATGTACTGCTGCAGCCATTTTTGAATTATCTTCAGCATAATTTTACTTACATGTGATATTAATGATATTGTTTGATAATTTCCACATTCTATTGGATCACCTTTCTTTGCAATAGGCACGTATATGGATCTCTTCAAGTTGGTTGGCCAGGTAGCTGTCTTCCAAATTTCTTGGCATAGACAAGTGAGCGCTTCTAGCATTTATCCGTTTGTAGAAATATCACAGTTGGTATTCTGTCAGTTCCTGGAGCCTTGTTTTTTGCCAATGCCTTCAGTGCAGGTTGGAATTCTTCCTTCAGTGCCATTGGTTCTTGATCATACGCTACCTCCTGAAATGGTTGAACATCAACCAATTATTTTTGGTATAGTGACTCTGTGTATTTCTTCCATCACCTTTTGATGCTTCCTGTGTCATTCAATTTTTTGCTCATAGAATCCTTCAATGTTGCAACTCAAGGCTTAAATTTTTTCTTCAGTTCTTTCAGTTTGAGAAATGCCAAGCATGTTCTTCCCTTTTGGTTTTCTAACCCCAGGTCTTTGCATGTCGCATTATAATACTTTGTCTTCTTGAGCCACCCTTTGAAATCTGTTCAAGTCTTTTACTTCATCATTTCTTCCTTTTGCTTTAGCTACTCTACATTCAAGAGCAAGTTTCAGAGTCTTTTCGACATCCATTTTGGTCTTTTGTTTCCTTTTCTTTTTTAAAAAAAATATTTATTTTTTAATTGTACTTTAGGTGAAGGTTTACAGAACAAATAGTTTCACATTAAACAGTCCGTACACATACTGTTTTATGACATTGGTTAACAACCCCACGAAATGTCAACGTTCTCCCTTCTCGACCTTTTTTTTGGTAAAAATATACATAGCCAAAGATACACCATTTCAAAAATTTTAGTGACATTGATTATGTTCTTCCAGTTGTGCTGCTAGTCTCACTTTAGATGAAGGTTTACAGAACAAAATAGTTTCTCATTAAACAGTTAGTACACATGTTGCCCTGTGACAATGGTTAACCACCCCACTACATGTCAACACTGTCCTTACTCAACCTTGGGTTCCCTAAACTAAAAGGGTGTCTGGGGGCCATACTCTTGAGGTTTCTCCAGTCTCTTTCAGGCCAGTAAATCTGGTCTTTTTGTGTGTGTGTTAGAATTTTGTTCTACATCCTTCTCCAGCTCTGTCCAGAACCCTCTGTTGTGATCCTGGTCAGAGCAATCAGTGGTGGTAGCCGGGCACCATCTAGCTGTACTGGACTCAGTCTTGTGGAGGCCTTGGTAGCTGTGGTCCATTCGTCCTTTGGTCTCTTCTGTCTTTTAATGACTTTTTGCTTTCTTCATGTATGATGTCCTTGATGTCATCCCACAACTCGTCTGGTCTTCAGTCATCAGTGTTCAGTACATCAAATCTATTCTTGAGATGGTCTCTAAATTCAGGTAATCTATACTCAAGGTTGTACTTTGGCTCTCATGGACTAATTTTAATTTTCTTCAGTTTCAACTTGAACTTGCATGTGAGCAATTGATGGTCTGTTCCGCAGTTGGTCCTGGCCTTGTTCTGATTGATGATATTGAGCTTTTCCATCATCTCTTTCCACAGATATAGCCAATTTGATTTCAGTGTATTCCATCCAGCAAGGTCCACATGTGTAGTCATTTATGTTGTCAAACAAAGGTATTTGCAATGAATAAGTCATTGGTCTTGCAAAATTCTGTCATGCGATCTCCTGCATCTTTTCTATCATGGATAAGCCTACCTTCCTTGAAATAGGCTTTCTCCCCAGGCCCACACCTGCACCCCAGGCCAGCTGACTACTGGGTGGAAGCACCCAAGAGGTATTCTCATGAGTGTGGCATGAATACTAGTGAACTGCAGCTAGTTCCCAACAGTGGGGCTTTGGTAGCTCAAACTTGACATTCAGGCTTGTTGGTGGCAGCAGCTGCTGCTTCTGCATGTTTCCAACAGCGATTGGTTTCTGTCTTCTTTAAATAAACTCCTTTATATCTTTGTTTCCCTGAGTACAGCTTCAGGTCTCCTGATTTACCCTGGGCCTTTTGCTGGATCCTCTCCATACCTTCAGAGATTCCTTCTTATCAGAGCAAAACTGCTGGCTCTACCTCTTCCCACTTCTCTCAGATCCTGGCCCTTCTCCTGAGTCTCTGCATGACCAACTTTTCTTCATTACCTCTTGCTGCTGCCTTGCTCTCTTCCTCCAAGCCTACAGCAGCAGACAGCACACCCTACTTCCCTCATTGCATCTGTTTTTAGAATACCAGAGCTGCAAGGACCCTTAGATATCATCTAGTCTAATCCCCTCATTTTCAGATGTGGAAACACACTGTCCTTACTCAACCCTGAGTTCCCTAAACTAAAAGGGTGTCTGGGGGCCATACTCTTGAGGAAGGTTTCTCCTCAGCCTGCTGGCTCATGAATGCCCCTGATGTCTTTAAGCAACAGCACCCCTTCTCATCCCCCTGTCCACCAGTGCCAAATATCCAATAACATTTCCAATAGCAGCTCGTGTTTTTTTGGATGCCACTTGATGTCCCCAGGCCCTCCTCCTTCCCTCTGCTGAGTCCTAACTGATTCAAACCATGGCCACTGGGCCACAGACCAGGCTGAAATAGGATAGGCCTGCCTCTGGGGCTTTTGGGGTCAGGAAGGGTCATTCTTCTTGAAACTTACACAAGAGCTCAGGAAATCCCTCACCAAGTCCCCCCACCCCAAGCATCTGCCTCCCCCTTGCTGCTGCTCTGAACCTTTTGAGACGCTAATGTCTCTAAAGCTGCTGGAGCTGTTGTCCTCACAGCGTCCCACCTGCTTGTTGGAGTCACGCCTGGGCTGGCCTCTCCTGAGACCCTCCCCACTTTCCTCAGCCCCGGGCAAAGTTCCAAGCGACCTGTGAGGGCCACTCAGTTTTTCCCTTCCAACCTTCCAGCAGATGATCCCCAGGATAATTTATGCGGCAAATCCTCTTTAATCTTTAATCTGGGGTCCTGCATGAAGGCAGCTTCTGAGAACCTGTCTCATCTTCACAGCGTAGGTAGAGGATGGGGAATGTCTGACGTTCCACCTTAGGGGATGTTGCAGGGTATATGGACAATCACTAACTTGGACTCCGCTGTCCATCAGTCGGCTTCGCTTCCTGCAAACCTTGCTGAATCTCTGGGAAAGCTAGTGGTTTCTCTCCAACTCGTGCAGAATCCCCCCACCCCACTCCAATCCTTCTAAAAGTGTCTCCTTCGGGCCCTGCCAGGTGCGCCGTTCTTTTTTTTCTATGGGGACTGGCTCAAGCCCCGCAGTGCTGCGCTGCCTGAAGAGGCTACCCTTCAAGGACTGAGTAAGGGCCAGATGTGAAGTGTAGCCCACAGGACGAGGAGCCGAGCCACCCACCCAATCCTGAGCGACTCTGGATACCCCGCGCCTCGGAGGTCTCCGGGTGCAAGCCCAGTCCCCGGGCCAGGGCCGCCCCCTGCCTGTTCCGCGCCTGCCCCCGCGCCGCGGAAATGCAGGCCCCGCCCCGGACCGCTGGGCCCCTCCTCCGGCCGGTACGCACTTGGGGCCGCGGGCTGGGGCCGGCTGTGCTGCGAGGT